AGGGACTAGAAACACTGAAAATGATTAACTCCCAATTTAATATTACTTTAGGCTGAAATGTGCGTTTGCTACCAGTCTCGTTTGTAAGGCAATACTTTTACAATGTTCCCCAGGAAACAGCCTGTGACTCTAAGAAGAAACTCGGTTTTCCCCTGTTTTGATTGTGAAAGTAATTGTAGTGGCAGTGGAAGGTATTTTTGATGATTTCTATGCCAGCTCTATACCTAGCATAAGATAAATCTCATGGCATATCAAAGCCATAATTCCTCTTGTTCCCTAGCCCAGCACAGGTGTGACACAGTTAAGGCTTCTTCCCAACCTGGCCCTTAAAAGGTAAGAAAATCAGGTTCAAATTTTAAAAGCAGGGACTGGAATTTAGCCACACAATAGCCCAATAATTTTGAAGATTTATAGTGTGGTTAATCCCCCTTCATTGCTCAGAAAAGCTAAACTCAAAATTTTAATCCTAAAACAATTTACACATCTGGTTCACTTTATACCCTACAAGTTATTTTATTGATTCAGTTGATAGGAATGAGATCTATTTAAAATAAAGAGAGTAATATCTGTGTTTGCTAAGATAAATTTTAATCCTGCCCATTTTACTGAAGTTCTAAAGTTCAAAGAAGATATTAAGTAACCTTAACTACTGAAACAGCAAAGAATGACTCCTGTAATAAAATTAGTCTTGTCTAGTTTTATATACATACAAATATTGATAAATGTTTTACATACCTGATTATTATTATTTGCTATATTTAATATTCCATCCAATTAAAACTATAAGAAATAATACATCTTATTTTTAGCTGCAAATACAGTTTTTGCCATTTCAGTAAGGTGGAGAATTCAGTGGGGAGGTGCATTTTTCTTTTTAAATCACAGAATTTTTGTTTGCATTTTATGGATACTTGTGTTAGCGTTTTTTGTATTTTTTTTTGTGTATATCTTACGTTATTTGTTGAATTGCTATCCAGATAATGATACCTACAACAACAAGCAGAAAATTGTCTGAACATTAGTATTCCTATCCCATTTCTGAATTATCTATTCATTATGACAATTTTGACCCAAGGAATGCCAACATTCCTAGATCAAAATATTTATATCAACTAACTAAACCAGATCAAAACTTCTTATTTTGGTTGTTTACAACTGAATTAGATCAATTAAAAACTGGTATTCTCTCTCTCCCCTGTTCTCCTATAAGATCCAGGCTCACTGACTGGAGTGCATTTCTTGATGCACACTACGTGGCGTTCTCACAATGAAATGTAATAGTAAAGCCAGGTTGGGAACTGATGTGCCACATGAAAAACATAGTGTGTCCAGCAGCTGTAGCCCTCAGATGAGAATGGCAACCTGAAGCATTTAAAATACATGAAGCACCCATGAGAACAACAGTAGCTGAGTCAGACAGATTTGTGTTAAACTGACCCCAAACAAACTGTTACTATTTAGTTCAGTAATCCAGTTCTTTGATATAAAGTACCCAAACAGAAAATATTTCAATTCCCCTTCCCCACACAAAAATATAAACATTTCAACAACTTAGACTTTTTTTTAGTGGAAAAATTAAGCTTTTATATTAAATGCATTTTTGTAGACAAGTTACTTTGATGGCAAATTTCCAATCAGCTCTAGCAGGCCACTAAGGCCACAAAGTTTTCCTGTAATCTTCAATGGAAGTTGAGTATACTAAACAAATTGCTGGAGACTTTTTGATTTGTAGGACAGGGTCATAATTTTGGAATATTTTTGTTCTTCTCTAAAAACTAAGGGCAGGGATTTATTAAAACATGACAGCTTTCTAAAACACAAAACTAAAATAGTTTGGCTTTCTGTACCATTCTGTACTGAATATGCTTATAGATAATGTGTTATATAAGGAGATGATTACATTTATTGTGGTTTCTTAGTAAGCCTGGCCCTAGGCAATGGAACTCTACTCTGAAGTAGGTACTAAAAGTACCTAAACTAAGTACTAAAAGTTTGGGTCCTAAATTCTGAATTAGATATATCGGCTAGAGACAAAAGTTAAATTCTGAATTAGATATATCGGCTAGTGACAGTAGTTGACTCCCCCCTCCCCCCCCCCAAAAAAAAAACAAAAAAACAACAGCACTTACGCTCAGCATGCCCCCATGTTGACCACAGTGCATGCCCAAGAGAGGAAGTGTGTTAGTTTGACTGGCACCCCAGCGTCTGTATAGATTGCCCTTCAGCAGGGCTTTTTGGCACTTTTATCTAAAGTTGATTCAATCAGCTATTAGATAAAAGTGCCAAAAAGCCCATTGAAGTACACGATCTACACAGACAATGGGTAAGCCAGGTCAAACTAACACAATACCTCTTCTGGGCATGCACTGCATTCAACACAAGGCTGTGTCAAGCTTAATGTAAAGCACTGTTTTTTGAGTTTTTTTCTTTTCATGTCTGTAAGCAGCCTTAGACAGAAGACACCCAGTAATATTCAGAGATGCAACTTCATAACGCCTTTATGAAAATCTTGAGTTAGGTTATCTACGAAGTCCCTACCTCCTATATTTGATTTGGATTACTTCAAAGCTAATACACAGAGTCCAGATCCTCCACTGAAAGATGACCCTACATTGATTTATACTACTTGGGAATATGGTCGTGAATGGTATATAGATTTTATTTGTTGAAAAACAAATTAATTTGACATATGATTTGAGCTAAATAAGCAATATTCTAATAGCACTAATTGATTTCTTAAACTGATAAACACAATAAGGCTATAATTAATTATCCATTTTAAAGGAATTTTAGTGGTCTACTGAAATAATTAAAGAATAATTGCTATCTCTAAAATGAAAACCATGGATCCATGACAGCAGTAGCTAACCGCATGATAATTTAGGTAAACTGAGACAGTTTGTCAGCTAATACAAATCACCTTAATTCTACTGAAAACCACACAAATTTATTTTGGGGGGAAAAGAAGCTTTAAGACTAATAAAAAGAGATATTACAGTCATGCATTCACATTCAATAGAAATTCCTTTGAAGTGGATTAAGTTTCACTTCACATAAACGAGCCTTCTTGATATTGTTCTTCTATGAGAAGAGAAATACAAGTATGTAAGAGGATATTGGCAGAAGTTTTAAAATCATTTAAGAACATTTTTGCTCTTTGATCTGACTATATTTCTGGGTCTCAAGCCCTGATCTAGCAAGGTACTAAGTACATATCAAATTTGAAGCATGTGAGCAGTGAGTAACTTGAACTAGGTTTTTGTGCTTATCTTTCGAGCTCTTAAACATGTCATGATGAATGAGGGAGCATCTCTTTTGTTTTTGCTGTCCAGGATCCACAATTGCAGCATTTCTCACAAGTAGTGGAGCATTCCATAACAAAAATACCCTGTAAAGACTGCTTTTTCAGCAGCAAGTCATTATATGGAAAATAACTTTCTAAAGGAGAAGAATGACCTAACATAAACCTTGTACATCCATTGGAGGTGCATATGTTTTTAGGAAAAAACAGATTCATTGTTTTCCATATGTTTAATTTTACTGCTGGTTGCACAAAGCTAGTGAAACTATGATGTCATTCCTCATTGCAGAAGATTTTAGTAAACATTTGAGCTGGAATCAGAATGTTGAAAATCTGAACCCTGAGCAAAACATGCCGTGGGTGGAGTTTTATCTTTTTCCAGTAAGACTGGCAGAAGAGCACTTCTAACAGCACTAAGGTAGAGTCCATTTTGGGGTGCAGATCCTACAGTTTACTCAAAAAAAATATTTATAATGACTTTTTACGGTGACTTTTATCTCTAATTTTATGATTGGGGAGGGGGAAGGAAGCAGTCGGGGTGAAGGGGGAGGGGCAGCATTGGAGGGCAGGGACAGTTATGTGCTCTGAAACTAGACTGATAAATGTGAGCACCTTACCTAAACTACTGGATGAAAATTAGATATCTTATGCCTACCAAATACCCTAATAAGTGCTTTCTAGAAGCTCCTCCATTTCCAAATCAATACGTGTTTGAATGGTTAAATAGAATGTATATTCTCCCTCAGCCACATGACCTGGGAAATCTACTAAGAGTTACTGCCCCAGTATTTCCACCATATTTAAAACAAGACTAACAGATAAAGATGCCAGCATGCAGTGAGATATGCTAGCAGTGAGACTTTCTGAAAGTTCCCCCCTTTAAGATTAATAAAGCACTCCTTTGGCCTAGGAACTTATCTGTCTGTGGTGCAAACCTAGAAAGAATGACAGGCCATTACTAGACTGAGATTCATTCTAAAGGGATATGCAGTTATCATGGGCACATAGGGTAAGACTCCTTATTCAGGCATAACTTAAATCACTATTTGTGATCTTGTTTGTTCTTTGAAGAAAATGTATCTCTCTATTAATGGGAAATTTTAAATATTAGGGTAATAAACAATAAATAATCAAGCTTCTTTCTAACAATTCAGAGCCTGTCCTACATACCTTGGGTATATTTGCATTAGTTGCACAAAGAATAAGGGTGAAAATCAAATAAAATGCTCTTGCCTTGCATTAGTGTTTGCTGCTTCATTTTTTTTCTTTTATATTATCACATACTATGTTCTGTTTTAATGTTTAAACTACTAGAATAGATAATCTACAGTATGTTTTTAGCAAATATAAACAATATACATAATGTTATTTTATTCGTATTTTTACTGTTCATTTTACTACAGTGTTTTAGTGAAAGTTGGAAATAAATTACTACTACTACTATTTTGCTGAAGAAACTAAAAAAAACAACAAACCAAACTGATATCAACTGAGATGTAAAAATAGAAACAGAACTAAACCACAAAATATCAACTAGTGTTAAGGATTTAATTTAATAAAATGATTCTCTTCGTAATATACATATTTTATCCAGGATCAAGGCTTTGGATTTACATTTGGATGAGTGTCAGTCACTGTATCAACCTTGTATGACTATTACAAGTAATTTAATTATGTATGTATCAGGTTCAATGTAACAATCATTCTTCATCCAGTCAAATGAGCATCTTTCATCCATTTGTTTGTCACATGGCCAACATGAAGCTTTTCCATAGTCGTATTTGCTTTCTAAATCTTTGTTTTCCTATTTCTTTTGAGTACAAGAATAGCCGGAAGTTAAGCAGAATTTAGACCTGGATGGTATTTTGAGATTAGTTCAGGGAGAGATGAGCTTTGGAAGGCAACAACCTACTTTGTCAGGTATATTTTCAAAGTATCTGACAAAGCACATTGTTGACGATGAAAACTCATACCTCTGAACCAGTTCTTCTCTAAGATGCCATCCTGCCTTTTCTTCTTTCTTCTCAATGCTACATTACATATTTCTATAATTTGTCTCATTGTCAGACTGTCCTTCAATTTTTGTTAAATGCCCTTTTGCATAATGTTGTTTTGTAGTAACTATAAGAAAAGCAAAGAAACAATTTACCTTTTACTATAGCCACCATTGTAATTACGGTCAAATGCATGCATGAAAAATAAATACAATATGTTATTGTGCCATTCTATGAGAATGAACATACAATAGCTGTGTGTACACAAGAGCAAAGTACACAGAAACCAATAACTCTTTCACAAATACAGTTTATGAAAGCACCGGTACATGGTAAATGATTTGTACCAGATGATATTTTTTCAAAATGAAGAACTGTTACCAAATGAAATCTATTTTGTATAGATGTGGTCATTACATACTAAATTTGCCCTCACATTCTTGGTAGAATTACCAAGGGGAGGAGAAACAAATGGAAGCACAGAAATGAGCTTCAGAGATAAGTTGTGAACTAGCCACCTTGAAATTGTCACCACATGCAGAAAAGTTGATTTGTACTGTTGTTGATGCACAGACAAATGACTTTGACTGAAATTGCAGCAGAAATGAACTTCAGAGTTATCACCATGGAAACATACTTCCCTGAATAAAATCAACATAGAATGATCTGTGTTGAATGGATTTTGAAATGCTCACAATCCTTATGTGGGAAAAAAGAGATAGAATGAAGTTGTGAATTTTAAAATGATATGATGTGTCTCTATGCACTGACTTGGGAACAAATGTACTATACTATTTGGATCTTGAAAATTGTAAGCATGATTACAAGCAACAAAAGTTATTATGTTAGGTCACAATCCAAAGCCCATTCAAAGTCAATGAAAGGGCTTCAACAGGATTTAGGTCATGTCCTTCTCTAGTTGTAAGTAGACCCGCTATGATATTCTTAGGAAGCTCCAGGCTTTGTTGCAGTATACACATAAAAAGCAAAATCTCTACTAAAAGGTTTGTTGGAACCTGAAAACTGCTGAGACTATTATGGTGCCACGCATTCTACATATATGCACTTGTTAGCTCTGAAGATGTAACTATACCACCAAACCAAACTACCAAAATAAAATACATGAAGGTAAAATAACAGGTCAACAACTGTTTTATATCAATTAAATAAGAATGCTGGAAGCTAAATCAAAGAGGAATAAATGATTTCTACATAGAACTTGTATAAACATTCATTTTCTCCTGGGAGAGTCCAATGTTTAGTTGTTTTTTTTTCTTAGAGTAAAAATGGCAGTTTCAGGGGAAAAATAACCTGGGAACAACCACAGTTAAATCACTTACAAGAGAGTTCCTCTTGGGAGAGCAAAGGTCTGTACATGCCATAGCTTCTCTCAGAAGAGAATATAGTCCTCTAACATCATCTGCCCCCAGCACTAGCAGGGAGCAGAACATGCCCCCTTCAAAGACCTTACGTTTTGCTTCAAGAAAACACAGGCTGATCATAGGCAGTTTGGGTCACCGAACTAGGGCTACCTTATACACTGCTGCCATCTGCCACCAGGCAGGCTAAGGGAACCTGCAGAGCATGCCAAAATGTGTGCACAATCATCCCTTTCTCTCCTTCCTCCCCCGACAGCTGCACAGTGTCAGCACTGCAAACTTCAGGGCATCAGCATTCAAATTTTTGTACATATGGCTCTAGGTAAGTTTCTCTTCTGGGTAAGTTAGTCAAGGGAACAAACCTGGGAGAATTCTCCAAGATGACTTGAATATGTGTACACAGCCATAGACTCAAGAGCTGATATAAGTCAAATTGAAAAGTCTAAAAATCATGAATTGAGATACTGAATTAATAAAAATAATAAATAAAAAGAAAATATCCATACATTTACAAAGTATGAAAAATACATAATAATCAGAAATTGAAATATTAAGTTTCTTTATTATAATAATAATAATAAAGTAACTTAATATTTCAATTTCTGAAATATAATAATAATAATAATAATAATAATAATAATAATAATAATAAATTGCCAAGACTAGACAAAAATAGTGGGACAACTTGGAGTAGCAGACCTCATCTGGTGAGCTAAAATAAGAAATTAAATGATAATTAATACAAACCTGGGATTATATTTTCTGATAGATTTTCAACACATCATTAAGTAAAAAAATTATTTTGTTGCTTGTTACTTACGTGCTTGTTACACATTGAACTTAAACTGCTACAATGGTGATCAGTGACAGTGCTAGCTCAAGTTTGAAGTAATAGAACCTACAGGCTAAAAACTGTCTTTGACTTTCCCCCACCTGCGCAGTGATGACTTGCCACTAGAAGGCTGGCAAGTAGTGGGGGCATGGCTAGGGCTACAGATGTTACTTACCACTTCAGCTCTGGTGAGCCAGGACAGGCTTCTATCCTTGTGAGAGGAGTTGGGGTGGGAGGGGTGGGAACATGAAGCTGCAAGGCATGACATAGAATTAATGGGATGGGGAATGGGTAATGAAATGGGAGGTGGAAAGAAAATAGGGGTGGAGAATGGGAGGAAAGGGAAGGAAATTAACTACTAGAGTATAAAATAAAAAGTAGTAAAAAGAAAAAGAAATAAAGAGGAAGTAAGTTAAAGAAGGTGTCATGTTTTAATAAATTGGAGGTGATAGTCATACTTCCCAGGGTAGCTGGGAGGTGGGAGCGGTGAGGAAAGGTGTGGCGAGGAGCTACTGGCCTTGTCCTGGGAAAGAAGCCCCAGCTCAGAAGGACCTCCACCTGACTCAAGAAGTCTATGGGTCAATGAGAGGCAAAGCGCTGCTTGACCTGGTACTGGCTACTGGGGATGACCTAGTCGGCGACCTAGTGATGGATGGGAAGCTGGGGGACAGTGACCATGACCTGATCACCATCCGCCGAAAAGCTGGCAAGTCAGTCAGCAACACAGAAGTCCTTGACTTCAGGAAAGCCAACTTTGACAAGCTCAGGAGGCTTGTCAGTGAGGCCCTAAGGGACCATGACCCCAGGGAGAGGGGAGTTCAAGAAGAGTGGTTGCTCCTCAAGGGAGCGATCCTCAATGCACAAGCTAAGTCTATTCTATCTCGGAGGAAAGGCAGCAAGAGGGCACAGCAGCCCCCCTGGCTCTCCAGGGACCTAACAGACTTCCTGAGGCTAAAAAGAAAGGCCTACAAAGGATGGGAGTCGCCTCCAAGGAGGATTATTCTGCACTGGTCCGGTCCTGTAGGGAGCAGACCAGGAAAGCCAAGGCTGCAACTGAACTCCAGCTAGCTTTGAGCATCAAGGACAATAAAAAGTCCTTTTT